CAGAAGATGAAAGTAGCAGAGATGAGGATGTTGAGGTGGATGTGCGGGCATACAAGGATGGATAAGATTAGGAATGAAGATATTCGAGAGAAGGTGGGTGTGGCCCCCATGGAGGACAAGATGCGGGAAGTAAGACTCAGATGGTTCGGGCACATTCAGAGGAGGAGCACTGATGCACCGGTGAGGAGGTGTGAGCGACTGGCTGTAGTGGGCACGCGGAGAGGTAGAGGACGACCTAAGAAGTATTGGGGAGAGGTGATCAGACAGGACATGGCGCGACTTAGGATTACTGAGGACATGGCCCTTGATAGGGAATTATGGAGGTCGAGCATTAAGGTTGTAGGTTAGGGGAGAGTGGTAATATTTCTACAGCACAATAGAGTGAGACTATCCAGTTAGGAGTTAGACTAGGAATGTCATTGGTCGTCTATTGATGCAGGGCTTTACCTTCTAGTTGTACTATACCAGCCATCTATTTCGTATTTCGTATTTCGTATTCTGTATTTCATATTTCGTATCTCTTATATATTGTTGTTATTTTTATTACGCATTTTTATGGTACTAATATATCATCTCCTATTGCTTTTTTGAGCCGAGGGTCTCCTGGAAACAGCCTCTCTACCCTTCGGGGTAGGGGTAAGGTCTGCGTACATATTACCCTCCCCAGACCCCACTTGTGGGATTATACTGGGTCGTTGTTGTTGTTGTTGTTGTGTAGGAGCATGGACAGCAAAGCTATTGAAATGATGCAACAACAAACTAGATGGTTGGAACTAAGTGTGAGGTACCGCACGAAGGACCATGCCTGGGAAAAGTCTGAGTACCCCATGAGCTGCTAGTGCTTCGACCTTTGGCCTACCAGGGAGTTTCTTTTACCCTCTTATTAGTTATGGCGTGCATTGGGGACAATGCACAATTTTAAGTGTGGGATGAGGAGATTGTCTTTTTATGCTATTTTAGTTGTGTTAGTTTAATTAATTAATTTTTTTTCTTGAGGGATTTAAGTCTAAAAAAAATTATAAAAAAAAATTCTTTGTAGGTAGTGTAGTAATTTTCCCTTGGTTTTTCTTTGTGTCGCGGCTCTTTTCCAAGGGTTTTGTTTGAACCGGGTGTAATTAGTTTTAATTTTTTTAGGAGTAGGAGGCAGTGTGAGATGAATTGAATTGAAGCAATATCTCTTGACTTTGTTATGCTTTGAGAATAGTAAGTCCTTTGGTTGTGACACTTAGGCTCGGTTTTTTACTCTTATATAAGCACCTTAAATTGTATGTTCTTAACTTTACTTAACTGCTTTGACTAGAGTGTCTTGATGAATCCAATCCTGAATGAGTTATGTGTCATGTGTGTGTGAGGTTTGGGTGTTATTCTGTGCATGCCTAGAACTTACCCTGTGTGTTTGCAAAGCGAAATAGTAGTTTTGTTCAGTCTTGGAAGTGATATAGGCGTTTCTTTGTTGAGCCAGATATGTATATTTTACCTGCTTAATTGTTATGTATCGTAATTAACCCCTTTGAGCATGTAATCCTGTTTCTTTGGCAACCACATTACAAGTCTTACCCATTTGTTTGAATTAACCATCTATTTGAACTTTTTAACCTCTCATGAGCACTTGACTTGCTATAAACTTTGTAAAAGCTAAAGTGTGGGGTGGTTGGTTCGGCTTTTGAGTGGAACTAATGAAATAAAGAGAAAGGTGCACCGATTTGAAAGAGCAAGAGCCCCTTGAATTGAAAAAGAAATGAAAAGAAAAAAAATAGTTGTATTGTGTGCAGATATTCATTGATAAGTGGTACCTCTTGATGTAATTGTGCTTAAATAATTTGGGAGTGGATGTATATTGATGTGAAGGTGGAGTCATAGTTTGACATAAGTGTGGGATTTTAAATGTTAAAATGTATGTATTAAAGTGCTTAGGGAGGTGTAGTCACTCTTATATCTAAATGTATCCTACTCATCCCGCAGCCTACATTACAACCAAATAAAGTCATACTTGATCCTAGACTGAATGAACTCGATTAGTAGAGTAGTACACTACGGGCAAGCCTATGGTGCATCTTTTGTGGCATATGAATGTTACTTCTAAGAGTGAGTGAATTCTTTCTATCTTGAGTTCGTAATTGTTCCTAACTTTTATGTGTGGAACTACTCTCTTTTGTTGTATGAGGGCACTTGATTCATGAAGGAAAGACAATATTGTGGACCTCTATGTTAGAGTAAGTGAGTAAGTTGTGAATAATGTGTGGTACTTTTGAGTCAAATTTTGAGGTGAAGATGTTACGCTTTTGTGCTTAGTCTATTTTAAATAATCTTGGTGTGATGAGCTAGGAGAATTGTTTAAAAAGGTCGTGTCTATATAAAGTGTAGTTTGATTGCTCGAGGACGAGCAATGGTTTACGTGTGGGGTGTTGATAATAGGCTATAATTGTGTATTTTAGTCGCTTATTACACTCTAATTTACTGCACTTTAATTGAGTTTGAGCTTTAATCGCTAGTGTTTTGCACTAGATTGTGTATTTTATGCTTTGTAGGAGTGATTCCGAGCTATGTAGATGTTATGGAATGAATTCAAGTGAGCTTTGAAATCTGAGTAAAAACCCAAGGAATTAACCCGGGATCGTGTTCGGGGATCAACGGATGATAGTTAAGAACGAAACGAAGAATCGAGCGGGCATACGGCCGCATTGTCTAGTAAAATGCACATAACTTTTCGCTCAGAACTCTGTTTGGGCTCCACAATATATCGCTGGAAAGCTATTTGAAAGGGCTACAACTTTCATATTTGCATTTTTGCGAATTCCCACTACCGCAGCGCGCCGTGCGCCGCGCCTGTGTAAATTTCCTGCATCCCAGCTCTCTAGCTTCCCCACAAGCACACCGCGTGGCGCGTCGCCCCATGCGGCGCGCATGTGCAAATTTTATAGAGCCAAAGTGCTATTTCGCGCGGAAGAAGGTATTTTCGTCTGGGCCCGACCCTACTTGGTATAAATACATGTAAAAATGTTATTTTAAGGGGGAGGACATACTTTTGACATAATTTAGACCTAAGGAGGCTAAGGAGACTGGGGATTTGACGNGTATTTGTTAGTTATAAAAATAAACATTATAATCTTTATAATTAGGAAATTGTTTGGACTTGTGTTTCTTAGCGATATTGAACAACTGTAGCTAAGCCTTAGTTCTCTGTGGGATTCGACTCCGAACTTGTAAACCGGATTATATTTGCAATGACCGCTTAGTCCTTTTTATAAGGCATAATTGGGCGTGATCACATCTCTTCTCAGTAGCTTGAACAATGGAGGGGCAAATATTAAACTGAAGAAATGGTGGATCATATGGAAGGAAAGGAATGCCAGAGTTTTTGAAGATAGGCCTAGTTCTTACCAGAAAATTAAGCTTAATTGTTTTTTGTTATTTCATTTTTCGTGCAAAGAGAGCTATAGGAAGGAGGTACATTCTTTACTAGATTTGCTAGAAGAAATGTAATCGAACAGAATAGGCTAGGCAGTCTCAGATCTTTTGGAGTCTGATTGGGGCATACACAATCTCTTGTAAATTCTTTACCCATTTATAAAATTTGTTACTATTATCAAAAAAAAAAAAAAAAAAAAAAAAAAAAAAAAAAAAAAAAAAAAGAAGATCCAAACTATATAGAAACTAAACACAAACTCCAACCTATATTCACAAACTTTTCTGGTTCATTCTACAGGCAATATCTTATTGAGAACGGAAAAAGAACCATAAAAGAAAAGGGAAAAGGGAAGAAACTCAAACAACCTGCAAAATTTCAAAGCAAAAGAAACTAAAGTTGAGGATCCAGCACAAAGAGAACAATGATAAAATCATGTGAACCCAATATCATCCCCACCAGAGAGAATAACAAGAACTATGCAATCCCAGACTAGTTGGGTCGGCTATATGAATCTATTTGGAGCTGCTTCATTTCAATACCCAATAATTTGGTTTTCTAACTCTAGAGGTTCTCGAACTCGGAGAAAACTAGAAAATTTGTATCAATTTCAGGATAAAATTAGTGCTCATGGAAGAAAACGACTGATCTCTGTTGCAAACTTTAAAGTCCATATTCAACTAACCCCATCCTCCATCCTCGATAATTAACATCCATATAATTACGACAGACTTAGATAGACGTAGAAGAACAAGAACTAAAGCGCAGAAAGCCCTTCAGTTTTAAATTTTTTCCAACTACATCAAGTTTCCACCACCACCACTTCTCCAAAGTTATCGATACGTTTACATAAATTATCCGTGTTCAAAACTTATTTCAAGACTGATTTATGTTACTTCATCCAAAGCAATTAACTTTAATACATACCAGTACAGACCAGCAATATGACTCGAAACAAATTCATTTTCTTGTTTAACCAGACTAACTAAGAAACAGTGAGAAGTCAGTATGCTCTTAGTGCTTTTCCATTATCAAAGTCATTTTTTTGTTAACCTGCTGCGCTAAAGAACTTCCAAATTTCAAATACTACAACTTGAAAACTTGTTTATTCAGTTATACCAGTCCAATATATCAATATTCTTGTAAAAGAAATTTTTGTAGCAACTTATCCCTAAACACAGCGCAACTTGAGAAGAACGTGATTCCGATAATACTTTTTTGGTATTATTAATGTATTAAGACTTAACATTCACTCTATGGACATCCAGCATTCAATCAAGGCTTCCTAATACATTAAGATACGACCCAAGAAAGCTAAGTCTATCCCAAGCATAGCATTTTATGTTTTTAGGAGAACTAGCAAATTGCAAACTCATCCTCCTTCCAAACCAAAGTATATACCTATTTGGTAATGTTGTTATAGGTCAAAATATGTTACAATCTAGAGATCTCCGCTAGATGGATACAAAGTGTATATCAGAAAGTTCCAACACAGGTTCCGAGGAAAATCACATGGAACTTGAATAGAGATGATGTAAATGAGCGAACGAGAAAATGAAAATGCCAAATTAATCAATGACACTCCAAAACTTACTAGCTTCCACGGGGGAGGAAGAGCTTTGAGAGAAACCGGAATAAACCTGCTAGAAAAAAATGTGTCAGCAAAAGGTAGGCTCTGAGATGACTGATCAGAATGATTTCTAGGAAGAGTTCTGAACCTGAAGAACTTAAATGAAACCTGGAGGAGGATTTTGAGAATCTGGTATTTGTAGTTTTATCTCTTCCTTTTTTTACAACTATGCTGACCTCCCTCCTTTTTTATGACCTAACACTTGCTTCACCTATAGAATCTATAATTACACTTCTTTACCTAATTCTGCCTTTCCTTAGAAATCATCAAAGAAATGTGTGACAGAAATGTATTTAGTTTTGTACTGTGCGAAGCAAATCGTTGTTAAGATACATTATAAACTTGTCCTTACATTACATGTTTGTTAACGTTGTACTACCAGAATTGTGCTCATTTCAATTAGACATAACCAGGAAAAATTTAAATTTTCTCTCTCCCTTGGTTTCTTTAATTTTACATAATTGAAAATTGTCTCGTGTTTGTGTATTGACTCAGATTTTGAATTCTCTTTTTCACCCTTTCTGTTTTTTGCTAGCAGCTGGACTACTTTTATTTGTTAAAACATACGGAATTAATCTTTTCATCAATTTGTTTGCATAAAAAGTAAGAGAGAAATAAATAATGATCTTGAGGATCCGATATAAAAGTAAAATAATTAAAAAAGATCTTGAAGATCCATCCATAAAAAGCAATCTGAAGTGCTTAAACAAGTTTGTCTCCAAATCAAGAAGACAGATAACCACAAAATTAAGCTGATGATAATTGAAATTGCGTAAAGATTCTACGGCAATATAGGTGAATTCAGAGTTTCTATTGGAAAAGAGATGACTTTGTAATTAATTAATCGCTTTACTCAAACGCGTGTACTCATTCCTAATTGCAGCTCCAGCTCACGGATGTTAAGAATCAGGACATCTTCAGTCTGTTTCATTTATCTCAAGATTCTTGACCAGCATTTAAGTTCTTACCTTTGTCCTCTGCAAGTTAGATATCTTGCTTCTGTCATCAGTATGATGTCTCTTTATTTATCTTATGATTTATCAGGTACAATTCAAGTTCAGCTAAATGAGAGTAAATAACTTATACATATCGGAAATAATCACATGCAAAAAAGCTATTTAGAAACATTGGCACTCACAGGAAATATGGTCAGATGATCATCATAAATGACTCAAATAATAGTTATCCTGAAGTTTGTATTGGAATCTGACCTTTCTTAAAACGGAGAAGAGCATTCAGCAGCACCAATATGACCGTTAATTGTACGGAGAGATCACTCCTAGAGGCCAGCATTAGATACTGCAAAGATCTCAGCCCTTCTTTTAAACCCTTGCTGCAAAGTTCAGTAGAGGAATTCTGGCTCCTCAACATTCGTTGATACAAAGATAGAACTCCCGTTGTATTCTTTCTTAAGCCTCTGCACTGTCGCATATCAACTCTTTTGCCATTTTTCTGTGTCACAAACACTTGAATAAGTTTAGCTAGCATTATTGACTAGAGTTTGCACAATCAGCACCAGCTCCAACTAGAGCTTTTTTTACAAATATCAACAAGAAATTACTTGCCTGAATTTAGCAAAAGTTTTAAAGAAACTCAAGCATTTCATTACCAAACAAGAAATAACTTTGAATTTTAAAATATCTAAGAGATATAAATAAACTCTTAACACAAATATGCGTTCAAAAGCTCCAACTTAAATAATTATTATCCTCCGTCCCATTTTATTTGACACCACAATATTGGGCACAAAGACATTAAATCCACTTTCAATTTTAATAGCAACGATTCCCAAAAAGAAAAAAAAGTTAAAATTTTAATAATTAAATGAATTCAAACATTAAGTTTCAGAAATTAATAGTCCCTCCATTTCATTTAATATATGAAGGTGTTTGATTTGATAAGGTGTTTAATATGCTAATTGAACGTCTATAATTTTTTTCTTTTCTTTATAATGATTGTCCTTGTGGTAACCTCGACTATTCCACCGACCCTGCTACCTACTGCATGCACAAGTACCAAGTAACTCAACCCACCGAGATTACACGTCTATAATACACTAACATAGTGATTGCGAGTTAGTTCGATAGATATAACATCACATCAAAGTTTAAATTTTGAATGCATTCAAATTCAATAGATGGTGAAAATGGTATGAAAGAGTCTTTAAAACATTACTGAATTGAGGAAGAGTCTTATAAATTGGAACGAAGGAAGTATTATTAATGAAATATTGTCAAGCATTATCCAAAATTCCAAAACGGAAACAAAGAGAAGGAATAAGTACTTGAAATTCTTGGAAGACAATTGGTTGAGGAATTTTATCGAACATTTTGCGAGCATCCCTCAATGTTCATATAAAGTTATAAACTACTGTACATAATTAGGGGGCAATTGATTGTTTTTTCATTTGAAAACCGCCTACCACCAATTTCTCGTCGTAGCCATTGAAGTAGCTAAGGAACTGTTTGGCAAACACAAATTTCGTGAATATCTATATTACGTCCCCGCATTTCATCTAACTGTCCAAACTTCCTCTAAGTTTAAGAAATCTCCAATTCTCTCCATCTCATTTCGTGAACGTTTGGTCAAACCCAGAATACTTATTTTTCCTAGATACGTTATATTTTTCAACAAAATATTTATACAAATAATAATTATTATAATAATAATGTTAGCAAATTAGATAATGCTTTTATGCAAATATTTTAATATTATTATTCATCCTTTTGTGCAAGTGTGAATTAAATTCACTAATATGAAGTTAAGAGTTGAAATGATTATACAGGAAAATAATTTTCGCTCATAAGTGAGTTAAGTCATTTTTTCCTTTGATAATAATTTCCTTAAAAGGTATTTTTTTAAAAATTATTTTTTAAAAATTAATTTCTGAAAAAAATGTTCTAACGTACCAGTACGTAAGCATTGCATATAAGGGGTCGTTTGGCAGGAAGTATTAGAAAAAATAATACAAGCATTAGCTCCGTGCATTACTAATATCTTTGTTGGTACATTTTTTCAACCTGTGTATAACTAATACTTGTATTAGTTAGACATCATACTTGGTATTATCCTATGTATAAGTAATGCATAGAAAATTATGACATTAGTAATACCAAGGCTATTAATACATGCATTAGTATGGTTAAAGATAAAATTATCCTTAAAGTCACTTAAAGCTAGAGAATATGGAGGGCATTTTTGTAAACAATTATTTTTCTTAAAAATTATGCAATGCATTATAATTTTTTAATACACCACACCAAACAACAGGTAAAAAATAATATCTGCAAAACCAATGTTTGCATTACTAACCCATGCATTACTAATTTTGAAAGAAATACTGTATTTTAAAAGAGATTGTTTATCAAGACAACGACAACAACAATATACCCAGTATTATCCCATATTATAGAGTCTAGGAAGGGTAGTATGTACGCAAACCTTACCCTTACCTTGTGAGGATAGAGAGGTTGTTTCCAATAGACCATCGGCTCAGGAAAGCATAAACACCACATTAATGAAAATATAGACAAAAAGGGACAGTACCAAAAGCTGTATAAAAGCAGAATAAAGACAACAAGATAGTAAGGTGATCAACAATGAAAGAAGATAACGGTTAGTCATAAAAACCTACTACCAACAGAAAGCGAGATTGCGTGTCAGTACTACTGTTATGAACACTCTAGACTACCTACTCTACTACCCTAATCCTCAACCTCCATACATTCCTACCAAGGGTCATGTCTTCGGTCAGCTGAAGTTGCGACACGCCTTGCCTAATCACCTCTCCCCACCTCTTCTTTGGCCTACCTCTACCTCTCCGTAGACCCTCCAAAGTCAATTTCTCACACTTTCTTACTGGGGCGTTTGTGCTCCTCCTCCTCCTCCTCACATGACCAAACCACCTAAGTCGCGCTTCCCGCATCTTGTCCTCAATAGGGACCACACCCACCTTGTCTCGAATAACCTCATTTCTAATCGTATCTAACCTGGTGTGCCCGCACATCTATCTCAACATGCTCATCTCTGCTACCTTCATATTTAGAACATGAGTGATCTTGACTGGCCAACACTCAGTCTCATACAACATCGTCGGTCTGATCACCACTCTGTAGAACTTGCCTTTAAGTTTCGGTGGTGCCCTCTTGTCACACAAAACACCGGAAGTGAGTCTCCATTTCAGATTGTTTATCAAGAATTATTAAATTTAACTCTCGAAATAGTGAACAAGGATTTAATTTAAAATTAAAAGAAATATCATTTCTTTGGTACATAACTAGTTATACATAGAAAATACGGAACAACAAATATACCAAAAATATTTAAAAAGAGTTAAAGTTGTCCAATTAGCTGAAGGTTATTAAAGCAGCGACTACTAAAAAAATTTATTTAAAAAAAAAAAGAGCATAAAAATGGTTTGCAATCTCAAATTGCAAACTGTATGAGAATATCTTATTAAACTTTGGACTCAATAATTCAAAGCAATGACTATTCAGAAGTTTTTTTTTTAAAAAAAAACATAAAACTAATTTGCAGACTATAGTCTCTGGATCATTTTGCTAAAAGATTGTTAATATATTATCTCATTTTTTATTTCTGTGTCATTTTGGCACAATTTATTAAGCAAGAACTCGTTTAAGGTATGCTCAAATATTTGTTAAAAACTTTAGTTGCTTATTATTATGAGCTCAATTGAAATATCACTTATGAGTATAACCTTTTGAAAGATTCCCCTAATGAATCTGGTCGAAATTTCAATTTGTCTCCCTTAAAACGGCAAGTTCTATTGAGAAACCAAGTGATAATCAAATTTTCTAAGTCAAAAGTTATCTTTCACCATCAAAGAAACCATCATAAAGATACGCTAAAAAAGGCTAAATATTCTTATCATCAGTTTATAGAAAGTAAATCTTTGCTTCTACTAAAATTATCTTAAAACTAGAAAATTGAAGTTTGATTTAGCAAGAAAGTATGAAACAACGTAAAAATATTCAGAAAAATTGTTTATAAAAAGAATAAAGTAATATTTATTTTTTGTAAATTAAAAAAAAAAGGGATGTAGAAATAATGTATATAATTAAGAGCCGTTCCTATTTAGTTGGGTTTGTGGAGAGTTTATCCCTAATCAAACTCTAATTTCAGCATTTGAAGATAACAGAATCTCCAACTATTGCGTTTGAACGTTTGAATATTGAATACTACTAACTAGTAACTCCCATAACAAATTAAAAAAAGTTATATTGTCTCTCTACTCCTAGCATGAACAGTTCTGATTTCTCCTTTACAGTTTTACAAGAAGAATATTCAAGATTTTCTGGTAAATTTCTCTACTCTTCCTTTGTTTTGCTCCTTATCTCCTCTAGATTGTTTAAAGAAAAATAAAATATCTCTAAAGTAAACTATTCGTCATTTACTAGCTAGGATGACAACTGAAATTAGGTAATTTCTTTAAGAACATGAACCTCATATTATCTTATACATAAAGTAGTAAAACTCCAATTATGAAGAAGAATATGCTCTCGCAGATATATGTAAATTGCAAGTATACGACAGTAGATAAATATATGGTTAGGTGCACCAGAAGAAGCATGACTACTCAGTGCTCTCGCTGCACAAAAGCATTTTTACAACAACTACGCTTTAATCCCAAACAAGTTGGGGTCGGCTATACAGAAATCCTCAATGTTAATGTTTCTCCATTTAAATTGGCCAACATAATTCACCATGAATTGGCTAGTTTCACGTTGCTCACCTACCACAACCCTCCTCCTTTATCCGAGCTTGGGACCAGTGATGCGCTCTAGCTGCAAATAAGCATTTGTATTACCTTAAAATAGCATACCTGAAGTAGAATATCCAACTAAGACATTTTTAAATTAATCTCTACATAACATTCTTTACATAATAGCCCTGTATTAGTATATACATCGTCCTCAACAAAAAATAATCTCTGCATTATTTTCACCGCATAGCCATCCTACTTTACAGTCTTTGCATAACTAGATTGCGAACCAAATGACCCGTTAAACATTCGGTGGGTGAATCTCATTCAACCAAGGGGTGTCAACTAACAACCCTTCGTCAGAAAATTATATTATATTGCTCGATAAAAAATTTTGTTTTATATATTTTTACTATATGTTGAGTCTCCTTGACTTTTCAGTGTATTCAATTTTTTATATTTTGACACTGCTTACTGAAAATCTTGGCTCCGCTAACGTTACTGTAAAGACATAAAGGCTCCTATATATATGAAGGAGGGCTTATTGCTATATATTTTGCAGGTTGATTAATTAGGGGAGATCCTGATTCGAACATCTTAGCTTGAAAGGCCCTAAAGTTTGAACCCTTAATGGATTGGAAACAACAAAATTATGATAAGATGGCCACAAGGAAAAACATTGCATCTCCATCCAGGTAAAAGTTGGTTTTCTTTTACTTTTTCATTTTCACGTATTAAACCTTTTAATGTTGTTCTTTTATTCTTCTTACCCTTTCCTTTCAGGAAATCAGTGTCTGCTTCATCATCAGATGTTCAGCTCCACATATGTGGAGTACCATTTTCCTTGAATAGGGTAAGTTAAAAATCATGACAAGTCAAATGCACATCAGAATTATTTCAGTTTTACTAAGCTGTTGGTTTGTGTTGAACTTACAGGAAGTTTTGACTGCAAAATCTGCAAAGCTAGGTGCAGTGCTGAAAGAGAATCCTGAAGATGATGTTTCTCATTTGCTAGGAGACATTCCCACTGATTCCAAAACTTTTGAGCTAGTCGCAAGGTTCTGCCATGGTTTTGACATAAGCCTATCGCCTGAGAATGTTATTAAAGTCCTTTGCCTTGCTAACTATCTTGGAATGTCCGAGGATCACAGCACAAACAACCTCACAAAGAAGGCTTGTTTCTACTTTCAAAATAATGTCCTTCCTAGCTGGAACAAGTGTATTAAAGCCCTCAAATCTGCTGAAACCATTCTTCAACAAGCTGCAGATCTTGCCCTTGTCGATGCCTGTGCAGAATCGATCATCACCAAAGTAGTGCATGATCCAAGTCTTCTTGGAGAACCGATTAGGAACGTAACAACAACAGATGATGACAGTGAGAACGACGAAAGTACCTATAAGTCAAATGTGAGGAGGAGGCTCTTTGTTCTTGACTGGAAATCTGAGGACTTGACAGTACTTTCCATTGCTCTATACGAGCCCATTATTCATGCAATTATTCATCAAAATGTCCCTCTGGACTATGTGGCATCATCTCTGTTTCAGTATCTCATAAAATGGGTTTTTCCGGGGACTAAAGGAGAAGATGAGACATCAACTTATGAGAGGAATTCTCAGAGAGAGATCATTGAAGCAGTGGAGAGACTGTTGCCGCAAGAGAGGGGGCTGATCCCCTGTTCTTTGCTCTCTCAAATGTTGCAATCTGCAATAATGTTGGATGCCAATGCTGAATGTAAAAGTGGATTGGAAACTAGAATAGGAAAGCAGCTGGACCAGGCAACTGTCAAGGACCTCTTAATACCTGCACAAGGATATGCAAAAGAAGAGCAGTATGACACTGAATGTGTGAAAAGGATAATGAAGTATTTCTACAGCAATTACACAAACAAAGACAAATCTGGCCTGATCGTCGTGGCACAACTTATTGATGACTTCTTGGCTGAGGTTGCAAGTGACAGAGATTTGAAGTTGAAGACATTTTTAACACTAGCAGATTTATCACTAGCAGCATCAGAAGGAACTCATAGGAATTCTGATGGAATATATAAAGCAATTGATATATACTTGGACAAGCACAGATATCTCACGGATAGAGAAAGGGAAGAAGTTTGCAGGATGTTGGATTTCAACAACCTGTCTCCTGAAGCCTGTGAACATGCTGCACACAACGAAAAGCTACCAGTACGAGTGATGGTGCAGATTTTGTTTTCTGTGCAGTTGAAGTTGAAGGATACTGTGGCTAAGAGAATACAGAGGGGTTCTGGAAACCTATTGTTGAAGCTGGAAGAAGACGAGGAAGATGCAATGAGGACAAGCAGCAGTGAAGAGGAAGTGAAAGCAGAGATGGAAAAGATGGGAAGCAAGGTGCTGGAACTGGAGAAAGAATGTCATATGATGAGAAGGGCAATTCAGAGAGGTAGCTACCAGCACAAGATTCAGAAGGAGAAAACAAGCATGTGGAAAGAAATGAAGAGGAAGTTTGATTGCATGACAAGCTTGCATGAGACAAATTGCCATGTGAAGAAGAAAAAGGTGCATCCAAGATAGAAGATTTCTTCTTTTTTATCCAAGATAGAAGTTCATGGTTTCATCTTTACATTTTTATGCCGGAGTGATAAGGACTTACTGAATAATTAAAGATTAAATTTACATTCTCTTTGGAAATTAAGAGTATAAGCATGTTGATTATTTTCATCATCTCCTCCAAATAACAAAAGAGATAGGTAGGACTATTCTTTCATTGCATCTCCAGAAAATCCAGACTTTAATGCTCTGAACTTGTTTACAGGTTACAGCATGATGCCCATGTTTACTCATTTTTTCATTACGAAACACTAGAGTTCAGCATCAAGAGTTCAAGACACACTATAGAACGTAAAGATAAATTTTCCTCCCGGAATAAAGAGCTTTCACCAATTTGTAGTTTTAGGTGTCTAACTCGACACACACTTGCGAAGTCTTTAGTTATGGTGCAAGAAAAAGAACAGTTATGTAGGTCTAAACCCATATTTTATAGCACTAGTGCAAGCACTTGTTCATCGCAACAATTCCAAAATAATAGTACAACCAACAGTTATCCTCACAAGTGATACATACTGATAGTACAACCAACTTTTTTTTAAAATTGTGGTGTCCAAGCCAGCTTGGCGCACCTCCATTAATTCCATGAGGTACCTGCTATCTCCACCAGCATAGGTACCAACTCGGTCCATCAAGGTTTTGACATGTGAGAAGAAATCACCTAGTGTTTTTGCCTCTACTGGGCTTTGAACATGTTGTACAACCAACTTGTTCATGCAACAAAGCCAAAATGAATAACATAAGTGCTTTCACCGAGACCTGTTTTCTAGCAAACACTTTCAAGAATAAACATCTCTGCCAAGAGAAAAGTCGATACATCTTAATTAGGTCAGAACTGTACATAATTTCGCCAACAACGATGCAGTTAACAGCAGAGGTTTCACGTTGATAGGCAAAAATCTTGCAAACAAAGTCTCTGCTCCATCTCTCCATGAATAAGAAAACGAAAAGAAACGAAAAATGTCATGAAAATGCAGAAACCCAGAATTCCAGGATTCAAGAGCAAGAACAAATGGAGTTCACTTTGTCATCTTCCTCAAAAGAAGAAAGAGCTTCTCATCGAGCTTGAACTTTTGCACCTTGAGGGGATCACTTTTCAACATCAGCTGAAGTCCTCCGAAGGAGACATAAACCACTCTGACAAGAGGGAAAAGGAAAATGAACAAATCAATAGGCTGTCTAAGAGTGTGAATCTCTAAGCTTATTGACTTTTGAAAATCTAAGAAACAACGTCACAGCCACAAACTTATTCCTATGATAGGCCATGAGATATTTTAAATCATTCTATAACCTACAACAGTAGTGAAGAGAGCTTTCAGTTGTGTTAATTGTCCACAGGTACAGAGGCCTGGAGTTGTCTGTTCAGCAAGAACTGGAGAAGAAATACAAGAATAGAATTTCTTCTTGTGAATATCTGCCTTTTTCCATTCTTAACAAATAATTTTTCCTATCCAAACAACATATCTGACTGCATGATGAAATGGTGAAACATCGGTTAATGTTGACCAACCGAGATTGGATTTTGACGAGATCGGATTTGTTGGATAAATAACTACTATACTGGAATTAGTGGGTGCTATGTAATCCAAAGTGAAATTTAGATGGCGGACTGCTGCAAAGCTGCATGCACTGAATTTTTTTCTCCTAGCTTACAGATAGATCTAGAAGTTAAACCAATACATTGAATAAATGGGACGAGCAAGTACATACACTTTTTTGTCAGGTCCTGATGTGTCCATTGAGACCTTATAAACTAGCCCATGCACGATGTATTCAAATTTGTCAGCAAGAGATTTTTGCTCTCCCTGCAATTGAAGAAAGTTGAACCTACACATTACAACAACAACAACAACAACAACAACAACAACAACAACAACAAACCCAGTTTGATCCCAACGGGTGGGGTCCGGGGAGGGTAGTCTGTACGCAGACCTTACCCCTACCTAATGCAGGTAGAGAGCCAGTTTCCAATAGATCCTCGGCTCTGAACCTACACATTACTGTTGCCAAAAAGCCTTGGAGAAGCAAAAAAAGAGTAATAAAAAGAGGCTTCCAACATTTCTTAGTTGGTTTATAATGAAATTTATTTAGATTCGAGAAGATAAAAACCAAGTGGTTGGCTTTCCCCCCCCCAAAATATCTTTACTTCAATTTGGAGATCATCAAACAAAAGGAAAATAGAAGGCAAACCTACCCAAGAATTTACAGACAATGATATGGGCTATTTTGAATAACCAACTACTAGATCAAAATCACAACTTCCTTCCCAAATAAGATTTATGGACTTACCAAGCAGCCTACTAAAATCGTACAAATGATTAAATCTAACATATCAGAGAGAGAAGATTACCACATTTCTATTAATGATCAAATGGATCTTCCAAGACAATTAAATAGGAAGATTCAAATAAGTAAAAGGAACAAATACCTCAGGAGGATGGCTAGTTACAGCTGATCCATCCATATTCAACGTCTTTGATACAACCATCCTATACAACTCTCTTGGCTGCATAGGGTATAGTTCTGAGTTGATATCTAGCTGTATTGATGTTTCGCCATCATGACATCTTGCTTCTATGCGAGAAACTAAAGAAATTGACAGAAGCTTCAGTCTAAAGATCAATGATACAGAAACATAAATGCAACAGCACAACATAGTAAAGTTGATACTTGATAATGATAATAATTGTGCCTCCCCGAACATCTAATGTCACTCCCAAAACAAAATCAGAACAAACATACTGTACCCAACCAAAATACCCTGGTAGTTCTCATCTACGTTAAGCGAACTCCGTGTAGGATATAGAAACAAGTCAACCACAGCAAATTCTAATATAAAAATAATTAACAGTGGAAGAACTTTACATGAATCTGAAAGACATTCTGACATCAGAATTATCTTTTTTATTGCAGCAAGTAAATATCAACTTCTTCTCTATAGAAGGATCAACATCCACATACTTAGCTTATGCATGACAAACTTTATACATACAAATCTCTCTGAGTTAGCCACTTTTCATCCTCTTTTGTCAAAAGAAACACCCAGCTGATATGCCATTTAGTTCTAGGATGGATGCAGGAGATTTCATTAGTACCACATGCACCAGGGCATTGGATAGTACTAACTGGGGTCAATGCTCCTTATTTCTCATACCGAAAGGTAAAACCTGAACACTATAAGTTGAATGCTAAAACAGTCATCTAGTAAACAAAGAACAATCATACAAGTAAACCATGAAATCCAACTAACAATATTTCCAGATCTCAAATCTTATATCTGATTATAAACAAAGTGACAGGCAAAAGAAATGCATGACTGTAATCTGATGGAGTTTTGTCAGCTAGAGTTTAAGCTCAGTTGGTAAGACTTTTTTTTAAACAGGTCCAAGTGGAGAAGATTTGGGGAAGTTGTTTACTGCAACTGACTTAGAAAATCTAGCATTATGCGATCAACAATTCCTGACTTTGATGTGATGGAATTTTGTCAGCTAGGGCTTAAGCTCAGCTACGAGTTTTTTTTTAACATGTCCAAGTTGGGAAGACTTTTGCTGCAATTGACTCGAATATCTAGTGTTTATGCAGTCAATAATTCCTAAAACCACTGTGTACTTCATTCTAATAAACCTCTTGGCTCTTGTATTCGAAATCATTTTATGCCAATAAAATAACATTTAATCATCAAAAAGGAAGGTCCTAAAAGGGCTGACAAGTTTTAGTAACTAGATCTCCTTAATCAAAATATACTTGTCATTCTCATTCTACTATTCCTTTTAGCATATCCTTTAACATAAAGCACTTCCTCAAGGGAAAGAATATATCATGGTACCTATAGATCTAACTCACCATTCCATCTATTGGTCGTGAATGTTCTTTAAGAGTGTCTATAAAGAGTGAATGGGACTATATGGCATCTAGATGAGTATTTATTCACATATAGCCACACAGGTGCAAAATAAATATATTAGGTCCTAGGATGTGATTATTCCATAGCCAAAGATTTCCTAACATGCTCAGAAATATTGACTGTACAATATACTACTATTGGCACATTTCTACTCCAGAAAAACAAAACACAAAGGATCTCAAAGAATTTGTCTTACCAAGCCCAGCTTGGAATGCATCAATAGGAGATATCAAATAATCAATCCTTTCCTATTTATTTCCTCCAATCCCCACATAGTCCCTTTCCAAGAAACAAAAATGCGAGCTAGGAGAAGAATAAAGGTAAATAGTACAGAGACAGCACCACCTGGAGACCAACAATCGTCACAGTAATACTGTTCCTTAAAAGCATTGCATGCAGTATCAATATGATATGGAGTAAATGGAAGAGTATTACCTTTGTCATACTTTTTGCCATCAGCATCCACCTTTCGAACCTTAATAATTTCGTCAAAGTGAAACGCATCCATTTTCAGAGGTAAGCTTCCCGAAGAGATGTCACCTAATCATAAAAGGAAAAGAATCAAAAGGAGAGTCACAATCAGTGACAATCATACATGTCTAATCTTTTATCAATTAGGTGAGATAAATTGACTTATGCAGTAAATAATTTCATCGGATGTCCCCGATAAAATTGACTAATCTTTTATCATTAGGTGAGAGACAAGAAATCAGCAACATCCTAAAACTAATACAGGATTAACAAATGCCTAAATCAGGATGTGCTTCGAAAAGCAAAGGCCACAATAGTTTTTAAATCACTGTACGGGAGTATCTAAAAGTGATAATTGCAGTGGATATCAGAAAAGAAAAAGAAGAGGGGACGATCAAGTATCTTTTCACGAGAACCTTCTCAATCTTCAGAGGGATTAAGATCTAATCTCTCAGCACTATTCCCAGAAACGAAATAGCAGAATATGACCAACTTTGACAAGTTTTCTACCTCATCATAAATCTAAGCATCTTAAGTTGAGCAATACCATATTAAGAACTGAATATCACACCAGGTGAAAAAGAAACATAGAATAAAGAAAAAAGAAGAAATCGAAAGAACCTGAAAGTTGCAAAGCGAAAAAAAAAAAAATTTGAAGTTATCCAGCACAAGTACGTCTAACATTTACAAATCTCGAAACAACTATGGTAACCAGGGGATAGAAGAAATTCTACAACGAATTTTCCCGGATAAGCTCAATACTCAAAGAAGAAAACAATCTTAAAATCAAACCTACCCCGTCCTGAGAAAACATTCATACTGTTCCTCTGTACTTAAATCAGTTGCACAAGAACAAACATTAAGCCAAGGAAATCCTTCCAGTTTTTAATTTCTCCAACTTTTATCAAGTTTGCAACTTTCCACCACTTCAACATAGTTGCCAATACCTTTACATAACTTGCCCGCATGTTCAAACCTATTCGACAACCTTTTTTTCCCCTGATATGGTAAACCCAGACCTACCCCCACCCCCTCCAAAACCACCCTACAAGTAGCCCTTCCCACATTGCTCCCCCGGTGACCCAGACTCCCAACCTTATGATTGGAGCTAAAGGGTCCTTACCACTAGGCTATCCCTCCCTTCTCATTCCAAAACTTATTCTATAACATCTTTAAAAAAACAATTACCTAATAGCATACCACTTCAGACCAGCAATTGGCTCAGAACTTCTTCATTTCCTGTTTAACCTCACTAACTAAGAAATAAAGGGAATTCGCTAAAATTCCAGAGTTCCAGTATCAAAGCCCCAGCATTGAGTGATCAAAAAACTTTCAAATTCAAGTTATTATCACTCAGATAGATAGCATACACTTCTATATCAATTAAAAAAAAAGGCTTATACACTTTCTCTGGAAGAATTGCCATGCAAGCAAACTGAGGATTGTGATATGTTATTTCATAAAATCACCAAATTAGTATCAAAACTATAAGCTACTCTTTAATAACTTAGTAGCAACATTTGTTCCCAAGCCCCACCGAGCTTGAGGAAATGTGATTCCCATATTCTTAATTCAATAGGAATTGAAACAACTTAAGCATCACCAAATACACCTTATTTTAAGAAATTATTGATCCTTCCATCGAGCTTTGTTGAAGAGCATCAACTATGATATAAAGAAGCCTAGCATATATCCCAAGCATATCAATTTACATTTTAGGTCATGCAACAATTTTCCAGCTTTTTTTTACCAAATCATTCTAGCATTATAACTCAAAATAATTGGGTCAACTACACATTTTCACCCGTTTCATTGAATACACGCATTGCATTCAATATTGTGAGAATTCACCATAATTTGACACTTTTCATGCGGTGAAATTAACCTATCAGATAAAATTAGACTAGTAATGGTGGTAAAATAGAAGAAAACTAACAAAAACAAAAAGTCAAGAGTCGATAACCAGTATAACTCCGAAAGAGTAACTAGTTTCCACAGTGGGAAGAAGGAAATTTTGAGAGCAAAAGAGACCAACCTGCAGCTTTGAGGAAGAGGGTTTAACAGTTCTTTGGTGTTTTCGCCTGTCTATTACAGGGTTTCAAGGGGAACTCTTTTTATGCTGACCTCCTTCCTTTTTCGATGATATTACATTTACGCCCCCTATGAACAACTGAAATCTAAATAAGTGCTACTGCTTGTCCTTAATAATTTGCCCCTCAACTTTGAGTCCTGACACTCGGATACACCAAAATGCTAGGTCTTTTTTTCTCCTGCTATTTTTTTTCTTTATTTATTTGATTGTTAACCGACTTTACATTTTTTCGTTATTCTACTTTCGGCAGATGTATTAACTTTTGTCTGTGTTCCTAAAATACTACTAATATTCTGGAGAAAAGAAGAGACATTGCAATATAATTTTCTTCTTGTTACTTTGTTAGCATAAGAAATTAAAAGAAAAAATATAGTAAGAGATCTTGAAGATCCAATTCATTTTCTGCGTGAAAGACAATCTCAAATATTTTGCAATGCGTATTGCATAACTGTTTTTGTATTATTATTCGCCTTATAACAATTTATGCATCTTTATTCCTCTTATAATAATTTTTATATTATTATTTATTTAATAATATTTGTTTATTTTATATGACTCTGTTTTCTCCTTTTTACTCGGCTTTAAAAAGAATGACAGAATTTCAGTTATGAAAATAACTTGACTTTAAACTTCATATTTTATCGTTAATGACATATGTTATAGCAACAAAAACATTATGCCGTCTGTAAGATTATAAGTTTCAATGGTTTTTATTACTTTGTTAACTTTCATATGTAATCAAACACAAATGAAAAAAAAAAAAAGCAATACACTTTAAGAGGTTGTTTGTTTGGGAACAAGTTAATACTAGGGGTTATAATAAGAGGATTAAATAATAACAAAATTATTTATTAGATATATTATCCTTTCTAGATTTTTAATTCATTCAATTAGAAAGAGAATATAATATGAAATATGTATTTGACGTGGAAGTAGTAATAGGAAAGAAAGAAGTGTGGTTGGCGATGAGCATCAGACGATAGAATGATTTGTCTCAAATAAAATACAGTGGATCCCGAGCCTTACGTTTCTTCTGCCACCTCACAAACTCACATTGGCTTTTGTTGGTTTAAGACTGTGTAAGCTTCCCCAGTTCCAATCATTTGGTTTTCACTCATCAGCATTTCCAAACCATGGGACAGATTCTTGAAAAACTCCAAGGTAATTTCTGCTCTACTTCTAATTTAATTGTGCATATTGAACAGTTGTAGCAATTGATATTAATTATCACCCTTATTGGAATTCAATTTCTTTGTTTTTTGTTAATACATAGTATATCATAATGAATTCCATCATATCTTTTTCTCTCTTGTAGGGATACATGTGGTGTGATCCTGTATTTCTTACACGCCTTATAGATATGTGTAAAAAATCTTAACTGTAACAAATATCAAACTTTGAATTCAGTGGTGAGAATACAATGGTTGAACCTATCAGTTTAAATCCTAAATCCTCCTTTGTATATAAAGGGTACAGACTTGCAGATTGATCTTGGTGGTCTTGGAAGAGTACTGATCACGCCCAATTATGCCTTATAAAAAGGACTCTGCGGACGTTGCAAATATAACCTGAGTATTCTGCCCAAAGTCGAATCCACAGAGAGTTAACCTATCAATCACTATCTTTAGACCCACTAAACTCTTGAGAGCCAATTTCCCCAAACGTTTGAATCGCAGTTGATGGTGTCTTTAATAACTAAAATTGCAAGTAAATAAACAGCTGTAAACTAAGGATGCTAAGGTTGTAAACAATAATGAGAAAACGCTAAGGTAATGACTTCCCCTATTGATGGAATCCCTTCTGTTTATGCTTCATACAAATTGACCAACACCTCTCTATCAACCATGAACGCTCATCTTACCGTAAATCTCTCCCGAGTAATCACAGTAATATACTCAATGCACTCTCCCGAGATACACTAGCTAGCTCTAATTAACACGGTTCACTTTAGATTGCACTCAAGGCTTCGTTATCCCTAATCCCGCCTTTAAACCCGCAGTTATAGATCCCTCTTATACTTTGGGAGTGGTGTTGTTCAACAATAACCTAAATATGCACTCTCTCCCGAGTTATGCACACTAAATAGGCACAGCTAATTGAGGATCCTGTCAATTAACTACAACATACACAAAGTTGAACAAATAAAGATTGAGACTAGCAATTTGTATTCACATAAACAAGAAGTTCATCCCCCAATAGGTTCCATCAAAACCTTAGACAAAGGATTTAGCTACTCATAACTATGGGTAAACAAACTAAAACAATATTCATCATAAAACTTGCAAGAAAAATAAAGAAAAGAAGAAAGATGTTTTGGGTGATCTCTCACAATTGTTCTTCTTGCCAAAAATACTCTCTAAAACAATACATGCCTCTCTTGGGCGGAGTCTAGTGTTTAAAATATGGTTTTGGGCTAAAAATCTCGTGTTTTGCACTTTAGTCCCTGAAGTTCTCCTCCTCCGCCGCGGTTCTGCCGCGGTCACGGTCAAACCGCGGCCAAACATGCTCTCTGATTCTCACTTTGTCTGCAACCCTCTTCTACCGCGGTTCTGCCGCGGTCGCGATGGAACCGCGACAATCCTCTTTCGGTTCTGACTTGAGCTGTTTCGCGTGGTTTACTTGACGGAATTTTACGACCGACCTCTTTTTCTTCATATTTGATCCCAAAAGTACTTCATAGCCTTCTCTGGTCATATATAACCTGCAAAGCATGAAAAATACTAATAAGAGCATTTTGTTATCACTTTTATCATCCATACTATACAAGGCAGTGGTTATTTAGGGCCTAATTATAGTTAAATTCACCTATTATCAACACCACACACTTAAACCTTTGCTCGTCCTCGAGCAAGTTAAACCACACTTCTAGGCCTAATCGTTCGA